TCTCCCGAAAATCCCACAAATGGAAAGCAGAATCAAAACAAAACCGCAAATAAGGCTACCAGAAACTCAAATTTCTATAGGGTTACAAGAAGTTCAAAATAAAAATAAACCCCGTTAATATGCACGAAGTGTCATTCAGATTAGCGGGGGTCCACAGTATTGTAGGATATTTCACGGTGTTTCGTGAAAACCCATTAATGGGTAAAAAATACCCATTTTCAAACCATGTATGCAGCTGTTAAAAAATGGAGGAATTTTGAAATAATAAAATGGGTGAAAAAATACCCATTTAAAGATTCAGTTCATGGTTGAATAATGGGTAAACACAATTTAAGAAAATGGGTGAAAAAACACCCATTTATTGACAGACCACCCATTTACCCATTTATGAGTAAACCATAGTTTACCCATTAAATGAGAAGGGGCACTTTTAGCGGAAATGGGTATTTTTATACCCATTAATGGGTTTTCGCGAAACACCGTGTTGGACACCGCAAAAATCTCCCTTTTATACCTGCACCATTCTAAACATGCGATTATAACCATTTCTCGCGTCACTTTTCAAATAGACCAATGTAACATATCCACCATTTTGAGAAAATCGAAGTTGAAGTTCGACAGATTATTATACTGTTAAAAAACAATACATTTTGCAATACTATTTTTAATGTAGTCAGTGTATAATAACGTTGAAAATTCAGAAGAAACGGTAAAATAACAATTTTACTTTGAATTTCATGCTACAACATAGAAAAAACCACATAGGACGTTTTGACAAGTCGGATTGTACATCGGACATGTTACATTGGACGATTTTTCTCAATGACATAATCAATGAGTTTTACATTGGACGTTTTGTCTACATGATACTAGATTCCCTTTCACAGATTTCAGAGTATAGTACCTAACTTTAGATTGGCCCCGCCTTTGGAAAATGAGCACCAATCATGTTAGGCAGTCCGAATGACCGAAGTAACAATCATGTACCCATCATTTCAAACTGTACATTGGACAATTTTTGATCAATAATTATCTTAAATAAATGAAAGTAAATTTGGATGGATGTTTTTGTATCACATACAGTGATAGAAGAGCAATAGTTTTGAAATAGCGTGTAGTATTTAGTACTTACGACTAGAGTCGGTGTATAATGAGTCACGCCAAGAGTGAAGCCAAGTCTACCTATTGAACTGTACAACCGGCTACCTATCGTGCAAAGTAAACAAACATTACGATACTATGAAAGGTCCACGAAAGGTATTGCAATAAAATATAAAATATATTTGAAGAAATGATCATAAACACGCAGGGAGCATTAAACTGACATGGGATACGTTTGGTAATGATTAGTAATGAGAATTTCTACTCTTTTTTGATAAGATAATTTGACAAAATCACTGATATAATGATTCACTACAGCCGCTATTTTTTTTCTCGCTAGAAGTCATTTGAAGTTGATGTAGAAGTCCTCTGTTCCCAAGTGAAAAGAAAGGGAATCTTTCGAAAACCGTGATGCGAGTTCAACTGTTTTTCTCTTGGCGTGACTCATTATACACCGACTCTACTTACGACCAGTGTTGGAAAAGTTCACTAAAACTCACTATGACTCGCGAACTTTTCCCTTGGTGAACTTCGTGAAATATCGCGATCTTTTCCAACGCTGCTTACGACCACTATAAATTTCCAACGATTGCACATAAACACTCTCCATAGTCCAGTCCACAACACTCAACTTTATCGTTTTTGTTTTGAGCTATGATGGTTTTGACGTATGATAGAGAAAGCTAGTAAGTAAAGAAACATGTAAAAAAGGCCTATTTGCCAAATATAAACAATGACTTTGAACGATTTTTCGTGAGTATTGACTCAATTTGGCAAACTGAAACCAACATCAGAGAGAAAATTTGCTCTATCAGATGATATAGTTAGTTTGAGTGTGCATGTTGCAATTCGGGAACAACCGACGTTTAAATGCATTGCATACATTTGGCTTGTATGCCTTTGCACATGTTGCTGCATGGAGAACGAGGTACCCAACACGCTAACTTGAAAGTACCCATTTATAAGTAAAAAAAGGTCCATTTTGAAGAAAAGTGACGAAACTAGTATTAGTAGTTTTTTACCCATTAATGAGCAACTGTTATCCATTAATAGGTAACAGATACTCATTAATGGGTAAAAATTGCTAATTTAATGGTAAGTCACTTATCTTTAAAATTTGTATTTTTAACCAATAATGGGTACTTTAAAGTTAGTTAAAAATTGAGTTCACTTTCACTCATAATGCGGCTTCCATGAGGCTAGGTAAAATTAAATAAATTATGAAAACTAAATTTTGAGAAATCCTCATCAATAATCCATTGAGTGAAAATTACCTAACCATCAATTGAATGCAATTGGCGTTGACAGCGACTCTGTAGCTCTTTACTCCTATGTTAAAATAGTAAACTTCAGACTGTGCCGTGAAACATGGCGGACTTCGTACTATCAACCGGTGGAAACTAACGATTTTAAATTGATTCACTACTTGACTAGCCTATTGGAACCAAGCAAATCGATTAACGTACCCTATTCTAGTCGAAATTCTAGTACGACACTATGTTTGTTTTGATTCTGTATGGAAGTTTGACAGATAAAATGAGGGGTTCATTGAATTTCAGAGGGGTGCATAGATTAACTTGGGACCGAAGATAGTACCAGAACTGAGCCAAAAAGTTGAGCACATTTCTCGCGTCACTTTTCAAATAGACCAATGTAACATATCCACCATTTTGAGAAAATCGAAGTTGAAGTTCGACAGATTATTATTTTAACTGTTTAAAAACAATACATTTTGCAATACTATTTTTAATGTAGTCAGTTTATAATAACGTTGAAAATTCAGAAGAAACGGTACAATCACAATTTTCCTTTGAATTTCATGCTACAACATAGAAAAAACCACATAGGACGTTTTGACAAGTCGAGTTGTACATCGGACATGTTACATTGGACGATTTTTCTCAATGACATAATCAATGAGTGTTACATTGGACGTTTTGTCTACATGATACTAGATTCCCTTTCACAGATTTCAGAGTATAGCACCTAACTTTAGATTGGCCCCGCCTTTGGAAAATGAGCACCAATCATGTTAAGCAGTCCGAATGACCGAAGTAACAATCATTTCAAACTGTACATTGGACAATTTTTGATCAATGATTTTCTTAAATAAATGAAAGTAAATTTGGATGGGTGTTTTTGTATATCATACAATGATAGAAGAGCAATAGCTTGTATCGCTTAACTCGATTTGTTTACATTTGTTACATTGGTCTCTTTGAAAACCTCTATGGTACTATCCCTAATACAAATAACCATAAAAAAGAGCTTAACGACCATTTGTGGGATAGTTTACCCATCCGGGATACAGTTTGTTTATGGTATTTGTTTATTAGGGATCCTTTCACTTCACCGAAAAATCCCATAAGAAACTGTCAATCATTTCTAGAAGAGACCATTTTTCGACGGTGCCGTCAACGCCAATAATGGAGCACGAACGAAGGCGATGAAGCACACAAAAATGAAAGTATCAAAGGCAGCGCAGGTTGCTATGATTTTCATTCAAAAATAAGTTTAAAATTTCCCAATGGTGAAAACATGACGATTGAGTACTTTTAACTGAAAATCGAATTCAAGTGTTTTTGAGTGTTTTTTTCCTACCGTGTTTGTTAATCTATTACCCAAAATTTTGTTAACGGTTCTTAGCGTGTTGAAAGTTTTCCTCCTGTCAGTTGCCAATGTGCGGTATGTAAAGAGGGATGGCAGATATATAATCTGCATTTTCTTTTATTAGTTTGGATTACCTCTAAGCTTATTGTACATTCAAACTATAGCAGATATCACGGTATTTAGGCACTTTTGATATCATATTATATTAGGTTATTACGTTATTAATATCAACTATAGTCTGAACTAGAGTCGGTGTATAATGAGTCACGCCAAGAGTGAAGCCAAGTCTACCTATTGAACTGTCAAACCGGCTACCTATCGTGCAAAGTAAATAAACATTACGATGCTATGAAAGATCCACGAAAGGTATTGCAATATAATATAAAATATAATCGAAAAAATGAGCATAAATACGCAGTGAGCGTTAAATTGTCATGGGATACGCTCGGTAATGATTAGTAATGAGAATTTCTACTATTTTTTGTTCAGATTATTTGTCAAAATCACTGATATAATGATTTACTACAGCCGCAATATTTTTTCTCTCGCTAGAAGTCATTTGAAATTGTTGTAGAAGTCCTCTGTTGCCAAGTGAAAAGAATTGGAATGTTTCGAAAACCGTGATGCAAGTTCAACTGTTTTTCTCTTGGTGTGACTCATTATACACCGACTCTAGTCTGAACGTAGTACAATGTCATGACGTCAGGGTAGGCGTGTAACATGCATGAGAAAGCTAATACTGTTTGTCACACCTTTTATTTGACTAAACGTATGAATTGATTACACGCTTAAATAATAAGGCCACGAATGTTTTTAGTCACCTTTCTCACTGGGAGATATAACTTATGCGTCTTTTCAGAAATATAAGGGAATTCTGGAAGTGAACCATATTGTTAATTTATAATATTTGGTCAAGCCCTATCCATTTGGTTAAAAATCTTTAGAATTTTCCACTGAATTTGGTATCATTAGTGATGATTTTCTTAAGGTGGTCAAACTGCCCCGCTTTCTCCTATACTGCTATATATTTTTTCATTCGCTGTGTCATTCAACCGGAACATGAAAAAATAGCTAAATAGCTAAAAATAAGGGAAAATACATAATTCAATGTCCCCTTCTTTTGAACATGAACTGCTCTTTCATATGTTTTGAATAACATATCATTATAAAAAAAGCAGTTCGATATAGGCAATAAGATGCTTTTTCTCGCATTTGGGTATTATGCCCGAATATTTTTGGAATTTGATTATAGGTTTTTATCCTAAGACTGTTGTGAAAACAATACTTACTGTTGAACTTTGGTGATCCTGAGTAAGGAGTACGCGTCACTGATGAACTACCCCGAGGCGTACTTGCCGGCGTTGCCATGGGAATGGGATCACGGAAATGTTCTTTGAACCATTTAAGTAGTGCATTTACCGAATCGAAATTCTGGCTTCGGAATCGGTAGCCCTCCGGTGTGATGGTTATGTATTCATGTTTATATTTCGTACGCGGTAAATATGACAGAAGAAACTTTCCGGGATAATTTTTCGCCACTGATACAACGTAGTGGATTTTGTTTGGATTTTTCTTTTTCTCCTCTTTGAGGAACTCCTCCGCTTTGTCCTTCATGCCTCCGTCAGTGTCCTTGTAGTATTTGTAGTTCAACAAGTCGCGTGCGTAGGAGGCCATAGGACTTATATACCTTGCGATAATTTCGTCCAAGTCCTCGAATTCCTCGTTACCGATCAACAACGACTGGCCCAAACTGAAATCGTTTTCTTTTCCTTCTTCACGCACATCGATGTGTTGGTAGATGTCTTTCGTTACTTTCCATGTTGCCGTCAAGTGATCTGCACCTTTGCTAGAGGGTCGCACAATGACCTCCCCTTGATCCAACTGATCTAGGAGTTTCAAAGCTTCCGCGTAAGAAATATTGTGGAACGAAGGGTGCACAATTACCCTTTTTATATACTGTTGTCGCTGTTTTTGTTTCTTGGTTTCTGTTTCCTTCTTGTTATCCTTGTCTTCAGTGTCTTCATCATAATTTGCATCTTTTCTCGGTCTCCATTCATTGTTTTTATCTGCCAAATCCGAGCTTTTTGACGAGCAATCCAAGGTGAACCGTTCGACGTCTATTTTCGTAATTCGCACATGAATGGTTTGACCCATCTGAACTCGCTCTTCCGGATTCTTCACATGCTTGTCGGAGATATTTTTTATATGAATAAACCCTGTCAGCCCGTTGTCGAATCTCACGCGAACACCAGTGGCTTGTCCAGGACACTCACCGGCATCGAAGTGGTTCCATACTTCCGAAAGCTCGGGAAACTCATTCTGCATACAGAAAGGACACTGCCACAGTCCGGTTTCGTCGTTTCGGACAGGATTTGCTTGATCCAGTTGATCACCTTGCGGTTTGCGATGGCTGATGCCAGCCACGGTAGCCAGCATCATTTTACCAACATACAAGGATTCGGGAGTTTCCTTCGTTAAGTAATCGAACAATTCTTCCGCAGTCACAGAGCGGTACGGAGTTCGAAGATCCTTGTAGCGAGAATTCAACTCAGCGCGAATGTCATAGAGCGTAATGCTCTTATTGCCGAAACCTTGACGTTCCAATTCCACTGCAAACGCGTCCAGATCTAGATCCTTCAAACGTTCAGGGGATTCCAAAATTTCTTCCAGAGCGCCGGCGGGGTTGGCATCTTCATCGTCATATTCCAATGCATCCACTGCCATTTTGCGAGCCCACTCATACGTTTCCGGATGAACGCGTGATCCGTCTAAAACTTCGACATAGGCTTCCGTGCTGTCACCGAGGGAATTTGTATCGATTTTAATAAAACCGGAACAGTTGATGAATACCTTCGGGCCCATGTGACAAGCAGTGACCAGCTGCGTTCGATTTTCCAATCGTTGATTCGTTTGCTTCAGCACTTTGATTAGGGCTTGCCCTTTTCTTGGTCCCAGCCCGCAAATGAACTGTACCAAATTCAAAGTGATTGAGTTTTGGACAGTGAGATTAATATCCACACCAACTTCATTAGTTCGGTTAATAAATTCTAGGTACAAACTTTCCAGCAATTCTTCTTTGCATAGCTGATCTTGCAGCATGTGGTACCGCAAACATAAGATTTCCTCATCAGCGTTACACAACTGCGAGAATTCCACCAACGGATCTTGTATTCTCCTCGCCAGCGAAATAGCTTGCCGGAGAACAAAAGGATATTCACGAAAATCGCTAGTTCCTTTGACAGAGTTGGCGTACACTTTTGCCAGCTCGTTATCCATGATTTCAACTGCTATCTCCGGAAACTGCTCCTCATCGACCAGGGTCTTTACACATTCTTGAAAGTCTTTCTGAATCATCAATGCTTCCCTGGATTCTCCGCCCACCGCAATCACATGGGGTTTTTTGTTTCGGATGAAATCAGTGATCGACTGCAGATCCGCCTCTTTGAGGGATTTTTCATCCTCTCTGTGAGTGTTCTTCCGCTTCAGCAGATGGGGAATCCGCAAATAATCTGTAATTTCACCATCCGGAGCCGTTATAGCCGCAAACGCTGATTGCGAATAGTCAGGAACGTATGCGACTCCCATGACACGGATACCGCGTGATGTGTCCCAATCGTAGTCATCATCGTCTACATCAAACGCTGCGAATAGAAGGGAAAGATTAAGGTTTTGTTTTACAACCGAATGAAAATATACATCATAACGTGACACTCACCGGGATTGAAAGGTGCTACTTTAATCCAATTGTACAGCTTCCGGCAGCATATTTTGAGAACCGATTCCTTGGACTCTTCCAGCAGAATGGCCTGCAACTCCCGTCTCAAATCTGGCAGAACCATTTTTGTAAAAGCCAACTCGACACACTCCGAACGCAATGTGTTCCACTCCTGAACACTTTTGGAGAATTCATCTTTCTGATACAGGGCCTTCATTTCGTCAATGATGTCTCCGGATGTTGTACCCTCAATGCGCTCGGAGATAGTTATCGTTAGGAGTTTATCATCTTGAGCCATCTGCAACTTCAGAAACTGATCACCCGTCATATCTCTGACATGTTTTTCCTTTATATACTTCATCGGATAACAAGCATGGTTTTCGTCTATTTCCTTGATTCCTTTTTTCGTCGGTCGAACACTGAGTTTTGCACGTTCGTAGTAGAACTCTCGGACACATTTCCTCAGCAAAGGCTCTCTAGCAAGCTGCCTAGCTACCATAAATTTCCCAGCATGTAGTACATCCTCTACCGTTGTGAACCGGTTATTGATATATTCTTTTGCTATATCCGCTGGATCACAAGCTTCCTGGTCGACCTCATGCCGTTGATAACTATCTCGGGCGTTTTCAGCAAACTTTTCAGGAGTCAAGCCAAACCGTTTCGCTAATCCACTTAATCCCCCCTTGCGACACATAGCGTACGGACCAGAATCAATGTTGAGCTTTACATGTTCTTCTGTATATGGCTCTTCTTCAATTTCCAAGTTCTCCAAATCAATACTTTCGACGCCTTCTTCACTAGCCTCGAGTGCCTTTCTTCGAGCTTCCAGTTTCTCCTGGCGTATGCGTTCGCGTTCTTTACGTTTCATTTTTTCTTGCATCGTTGGGATTTCGTGTGCGTAGTACAGCAGGAAATGATTATGAACGTCTCGTAGCTCCTCCTGGGATTGAGCCATCCTTAACCGGTCAAAATCTTCATCTTTGACTACGCGTGTTTCATCGGGAATCGGTGCATCTGGATTCTCCATGATCTGGTCAAGTTGATGATTACGCATGTTCTCGAACAGTTTTAATAAATTATTTTTCCTCACTGTGAGCTGACACCATTTTGAGTCGTACTTGTAAACTTTCCATAAATCGTTGATGTTGAGATCCGGCTGCACGTATTCTTTCCTGTAGAAGGCAATGAATGGTACTTCCAGATGCTGATTTCTCATAAAATCGAGAGCCTGCTTGATTTTGGGAATCGCCGATGAAGACTTTCGAGTGTATGTTTCCTGATTGGATACGGGAGGTTTGCAAAAAGCTTGCTTGAAGATCCATTCGGCTTCATCCTCCAGTTCGTTGGAACCTTCCGATACTTGCGTTACTGGTACATCTCGTAGCTGCATTCGTTCTGGTATATCTGTTTTTCTAATTTCATTGTCCAAATCAGTAAAATGACCCCTTTTCAGCTCGCTAGGTTCGAATATATCGAATATGGTCTTCTTAGCTGTCTTCTTCCTGGCTTGTTTCTTCGGTCGTTTAGCACGCTCTTCTCCTCCTTCCTCCTCGTACTCATCGTCAACTTCCGACTCATCTTCGTATTCATCTTCATCGTATTTATCGAACTCTTCGTAGTCAAAGTCGACCCCGAAAATATCCTGTCCTTCCTGAAGTGACCTGTAAATGCAAATGTAATCTAGTTAAAAATGCCGTATGGAAATACAATTAAATGTTGATCCTCTTACGCGTCTGTGAATATGTGCTTTTTCTTCTTGCGCTTATCGCTTATAGGAACACCATCGTCATCGACAATAAAATCGTCAGCGTCGGATTCTTCATCCTCCTCATCATCCGGATTTTCCACGGTCGTCATTTGAAGTTCGCGGTTGCTCTCCCGCTCAGAATGGTGCTCCTCGTCCTTTAAACAGTGATTCAATTTAGTACTAGTATAATTTATTACTTTCATTGGGGAAAATATTTGGATATGGGTTCCAGAATGATGCGTCGATGAATAAATGGAAAATTATTCCAGCAATTGACGAGTGCACGGATGGATTTGAGTTCACTCACTCGACAAAAAGTGACACAACAGCGGGGCCCTGTTTACTAAAAATGAACACATATATGTTCATTTTTAGTAAACAGGGCCCCGCTGTTGTGTCACTTTTTGTCGAGTGAGTGAACTCAAATTCATCCGTGCACTCGTCAATAGTCTTCTCTGACGTTTGTGAATTGAACAAGTAGTAGTGCAGAACTTTGGGTAAATTCAAAGGTTTTCTTGCACTAATACTTATAATTTACCCCGAGTTCTGCACTAATACTTGTGCATTGACAGTTCCCGCCGCCTGTGTGAACAATCATGCAAATATTTTGTATGAACCATAGAGATTGCTAAAGTGTGATTGTGTCAGTGATTTGTTTTCATCTGGAAAATTTTTCACTATGAAGTTTTTTTTTCCCGATGAAAACATTTGCGTATACGTATACGTAACGTAGTGTGCATACGATAAACGTCAGCAAGCTCTATGGATTTGCCCCTCCCCCTCTAAAGTGTCTGCATGGTATAAAGGATGTTACGATCAAAATGTGGTCAAACAAGAATGCGTGTAAATGTATTAATTTTTTTTATTGAAAAAATCAAATATATACAGGGTGTTTGGTTCCGGGTTTTACATATTTTCAGGGTAGATAGGACTCCTAAAGTTATGAAAAAATCCCCATGAAACATAGGGTCGGAAATGACTGCTAAGTGAGTTATTGAACATTTTATGTTTTTTTGTATTGCCAACTTTGTTTAGCTATATTTTTTTAATCTTAATGTGGTTTTCTGATTTCAACATACCAAATGAAAGATTGAAGTCTTAGCTATCAATGCTTTCTAGAAAAGAACTCGATTAAAGTTAATTATCATACATTAAAATTGAAAAGTATGTTGAAAGTACCGAAAAAACTGGTGTAATTTCATACATTTTAGTGTTTTTAAGTTAAATATTTTCATTTCTGTTTAATTAATTGTTCTACAAAACATTCTCCATGCAGTTCCCTAGATTTGTGCCTTTGGTAGTAACCTTGTAGGCTTTATGGTTTCTTCGTAATTATTGATTTAAAACAGCCATAAAAACTTGTGACGTTTTCTTAAAATGCGCTATAGAGCAATTCTCTACAGATTGACGAATTTTTTATTTATTTTTTTTAATTTGTCGGCTCCGATTTTGATGAAAATTTGCACAGTTGTTCTTTTTTTAGTAAAGATGCCAATTTGTGTTATCAGTTCTTCAAATTGAATCACGACTACTTTTCTAACAGGGCCTGTGTAAAAATAGTACTAATGAGTTTAAAAATTTATATTGCTGAAACGCTTTGTTCGATTAATTTGGTGTCTTGAGCAAAGTTGTAGATATTATTTTGGCAATAATGTTAAAAATATACACTGTAACAAAATTCGTTTGTTTCAATGAAAAAAAATATATTTTTTATTAAAAAAATTAATTTTTCAAAAAGTACAATTTTTCGTTTTAAGCCTCATTGAAGCTCATAATGTTTGCTACTAACTGGCAAAGTTTGGTGATGGTAAACTCAAAAACAAAAAAGTTATGATTTTTTGAAAATTTCACGATTTTTACATTTACATTAAAAACACATGTTTTTCAACCGTGTATATTTTTTCAAGAATTGCATTTTAATTTTGCACAACTTTCTCGAAGACACCAATGCAATCAAGCAAGCCGTTTTTGCTATGTATTAAAATGTTTATTTTATAAGCGCTTTTCTACACAGGCCCTATCGGAAAAGTAGTCGGGGTTCGCTATTACAATTTGTAATAGCGAATCCCGACTACTTTTTTATTTTAAAATCTCAACTTAAATCCACAAAATACATTTATCTGTTCTTTTTTACTTTTCTTTTATTCGAAAACCTTATGGACAAATGATACATAATTTATTTTCATTGTAATACACTTACTTTCTATTTTTATTTACATCACTTCTTAAATACATCGAATATTTTGGCATCATTATCATTACAGTTTGAGTATCGTTTGGCTTCTGTACTTTTTGAGAAATTTACTTTTTTAATAATAAATATAATTTTTTTCATTGATACAAACGAAATTTTTTACAGTGTATATTTTTTACACAATTGCCAAAATAAACTCAAAAACAAAAAAGTTAGGATTTCTTGAAAATTTCACGATTTTTACATTTTCATTAAAAATACATGTTTTTCAACCGTGTATATTTTTTCAAGAATCGCATTTTAATTTTGCACAACTTTTTTCAAGACACCATAGTAATCAAGCAAGCCGTTTTTGCAATGTATTAAAATGTTTATTTTATAAGCGATTTTCTACACAGGCCCTATTGGAAAAGTAGTCGGGGTTCGCTACCCCAAAAAGAAGCACCATGAAATCAACGAAGGTATTAGACAGAATCTTTTCAACTTCGAGCCTGAGGCTGACGAAGTGAATGAACTCAAAGAAGTTTTAGAAAACATGAAGGAAAAGTTTTCCAATGCATCCACTGCAAGAAGTGAAACATTATTAATTTTATTGTTATTGCCTTAGTCATGGTCAACACAAAAAGTTATGGATCAATTTGATGCTAGTAGATATATTGCAACAGAGACTAAGTTGATAAAGGAAGGTCATTCGTCAAAAACCGCAAAATATGGCACAGCCTTAAGTGATGAAACAAAATTGGCAGTCATATTTTTTTTAAAGATGATATAAGCAGGGCAATGCCTGGTCAAAAAGATTATGTGTCTGTGCAGAAAGAAGGAAAACGACAAGCCATTCAAAAAAGATTACTAATGATGACTTTGAGAGAAGCTTATAAACGATTCAATGAAATTCACTGCAATGTAAAAATTGGATTCTCTTCATTTGCAAAACTCCTCCCTAAGCAATGTAAACTTTTAACCAGCTCTGGAACCCACAATCCCGTGTGCACAACGCATGAAAACATCAATCTAATTTTACACAGTTTGGAAAAACTTAACCATTAAAATGATGTAAAAACGTTCACTGACAGCCTACTTTGTGAAAACAAGACAACATATTGCTCTCTACGGTGTTGTGAAGATTGTCCAGACTCTTCCGCATTAGAAAACATTTTATTAAAACAATTAGAGGAAAAATGCATTGATCAGCTTTCATTTGAACAGTGGGTTACAACGGATAGATGTGATTTAGAAACTATTGTAAAGCCTGCAGACGAGTTTGTTTCATTTTTCTGCTTGAAATTGACAAGTTTGATACCACATGATTTCATAAAAACACAGCAATCTAATTTTTTGAAAACTGCACGAAACAATTTGCAAGAAGGTGAATTTTTAGTTACTTGCGATTTTTCCGAAAACTACAGCTTTGTGTTACAGGATGAAATTCAGTCTCATCACTGGAATGTCTAACAAGCTACCATTCATCCATTTGTTGTATATTTTAGAGAAAATATGCAAGTTAGACATTTAAGTTTTATTATAATTTCTGAACAGTTAAGGCATGACTCAGTGGCTGTTAACTTATTTATTTCTAAAATGATAAGTTTTTTACGCATTAACCAAAGTAAAAATATCAACAAGATTTATTTTATGTCCGATGGAGCCGCGTCACAGTACAAGAACCGGAAAAATTTAGCTAGCCTTTGTAAATTTAAATCAAAGTATGGAATTGAAGCCGAATGGCATTTCTTTGCAACATCACAAGGGAAAGGTCCTTGTGACGCTATTGGAGGTACAATAAAACGCATAGCTACTAGAGCAAGTTTGGCCAAAGAACGTGAACATCCAATAAAAAATGCAAGAGAGCTTTATAATTGGGCAAATAATCGAAAAGAAGAAGAATTAACAAAATTATCATTTAGTTTTGCCACAACAGAGGAATACGAAAGTATGGCTTTACACCTCAACGAGCAATATAATAATGCAAAAATAATTCAATGAACTCAAAAGTTTCCTTCTTTCATTCCTGTTTCAGAAAATAAAATTAAAGCCAAACGTTACTCAAACTGTAATGATAATGATGCCAAAATATTCGATGTATTTAAGAAGTGATGTAAATAAAAATAGAAAGTAAGTGATAATAAATTATGTATCATCTAAAAAAAAGTAAAAAAGAGCAAAAAAATGTATTTTGTGGATTTAAGTTGAAATTTTAAAATAAAAAAGTAGTCGGGATTCGCTATTATAAATTGTAATAGCGAACCCCGACTACTTTTCCAATAGGGCCTGTGTAGAAAAGCGCTTATAAAATAAACCTTTTAATACATTGCAAAAAAGGCTTGCTTGATTGCTATGGTGTCTTCGGGAAAGTTGTGCAAAGTTAAAATGCGATTCTTGAAAAATATACACGGTTAAAAAACATGTGTTTTTAATGAAAATGTAAAAATCGTGAAATTAAAAAAAAAACCATAATTTTTGAGTTTACCATTACCAAACTTTGCCAGTTAGTAGCAAACATTATGAGATTCAATGAGGCTTAAAACGAAAATTTTCAAAAATGTACTTTTTAAGAAATTAACTTTTTTAATAATAAATATAATTTTTTTCATTGAAACAAACGAATTTTTTTAACAATGTTTATTTTTTACACAATTGCCAAAATAATATCTACAACTTTGCTCAGAACACCAAATCAATCGAACAAAGCGTTTTGGCAATTTATATTTTTAAACTCATTAGTACTATTTTTACATAGGCCCTTTTCAAAAAGTAGTCGTGATTCAATTTGAAGAACTGATAACACAAATTGGCATCTTTACTAAAAAGGAACAACTGTGCAAAGTTTCAGCGTAATTGGAAATGATCGGTCAGGATCGATTTGCGAACTGATATTAAAATAGGATTTTCCATGTTCGCCAGTGACCGTCCGAAACACTGCATTTTGACAGGGACAAGTGGCACGCATACCGTATGCGTTTG